CTCCTGTAACTTAGGGTCAGAGAGCAGAGCCAGGGCTCTCAGCAGATGGAAAGCCAGGGTTCCCGGGTAGCCAGTCACCCCCACGCCCATGTAGTCTCCATTGTCCATCTGCCTCCTCCTTCTGCTCAATCACCCATGTGCATGGAGCCCCTCAGGAACTGCTCACAATGGCGGCCTGAGCCCTGAAGGTGTATGAGCCTATTGAGTTCTAGCTCCCAGAGCTGTCTTCATTTCCAAAGCCACCCCTTCAGGAGAAACCTCATTCCAAGCTTCAGAGGAAACATATTTTGACCTGGCTTGGGATCAGTGCTCATTTTCTGGTTCGGTTCGCTGAGGCCAGGGAATGGATTCATTCAATGCTTTTCCAGACTAAAGGTCAGGCTGCTTCTCTAAAAGGGGCTAAGAGCTGGGAGGAAATGGTGGACATTAGAAGCCATGCTTTTCCCTGGCATAGTCCAGGGTGGTCCTGCTACACTAGCAGAAGCAAGGTCCTGTTTGCATAAGTGTGATTGGCTTGAGAGTTCTGTGAAAACACAGAAGGGCACCTCCCAGTGAGAAGGTGAAGGCACAGTACTTGTTGAGCTCCTGCTCTGTGCACTGGGCCCATTGCACGTTTTCTCTTGTTTAATCCACACAACAATACCCTGTAGAAATTTTTGTTTGTTTGCTTTTTTGAGATGGAGTCTCACTCTGTCGCCCAGGCTGGAGTGCAGTGGCACGATCTTGGCTTACTGCAACCTCCGCCTCCCAGGTTCAAGCGATTCTCCTGTCTCAGCCTCCTGAGTAGCTGGGATCACAGGTGCACACCACCACGCCCAACTAATTTTTGTATCTTTAGTAAAGACAGGGTTTCACCATGTTGGTCAGGCTGGTCTCGAACTCCTGATCTTGTGATTCGCCCACTTCAGCCTCCCAAAGTCCTGGGGTTACAGGCGTGAGCCACCGCACCAGTCCCCTGTAGAGATTTAACTGGGATCTAGAGTGCTCCATTGACTTATGCAATTATAGTCTTCAGCGGCAGCACCAGCGTTCAACTCTACACATTTCATGCTGGTGCCACCACTGAAGGTGAATGAAGAGGCTCATCCACTGCTGCCTCACCACGTGGGTACCTAGTGGCTTTCCGTGGAATCAGAAACCAGGATGCAAAGGTCAAAGTCAAGTTAGAAGTCAGAACCGGCCAATGAGGGTCTGAGACTACAGTCCACACTTCCGCTCCAAAGAATTCCACCTAATAGCTTCCTGGAGGCCCCAGTGGTGTTTCAATGGGCCTCCTGCCTGAGGTGTCTCTTTTGCCCAGGGAAGCATCGTATCGGTGTTTCTGGCCTTTGGCAGTGTGGGCATTTACCAGTTCCTCCATGGAGCCTTTTCTAAGGCATGCAGTTAAGCAAAAGGGCTAAAACCAAGGGCTTTGAAGCCAGGCAGATGCTGAGTTCTGTTCTGTGACTCAGGTCACCTAATCTCCGTGTGCCTCAGTTGTTCAATGGGGATGGTTCTGCCTCCTTCAGTGGGTTGTGGTTGTGCATACACGAGATGTGGGTGGAAAGTGCTTTGCACCTTGTGCTTGAGACAGGAAATTTCTCAATAAATAGTTGCAATTACAATAATAATAATTATATTATTATTATATTCACTCTTAGTTGCTTGGATGACAGAAGTACGTCTTCTTTCTTCTGTTTTCCCACCTTCTACAGCACCAGCAAAATGCCGTAGACATCTTTATCTCCATGTATACCCAATGCTTAGCTCCAAATTACAAGTGAGAACATGCAGTCTTTGGTTTTCTGTTCCTGAGTTAATTTGCTTAGGATAGTGGTCTCCAGCTGCATCTGGGATCTAGAGTACATTCAGCTATAGAAAAGGGCATGATTTGGTAGATGCTGAGAAAATATTTACTCAATGAATGTATTATATAAGGGTTCCTATAAAGTCTAGAAACAGGCAAAAAGATATAATAAATTATCTATATCTTTGATACTATACTACAATGCACAATGTAATACAATATTTAATATTTATCAGTATGGTTTTTCTCATTTACAACACATGGTCCCATACTTCATACAACATTGCAAAGAACGTGGTAGAATACAGCATTCCCGTCAATCCCTGCCCATATATGCATGTGTTGTATTGTCTCACATGATTGATTGACTGATTGGTTTTTGAGACGGAGTCTCACTCTGGCCCAGGCTGGAGTGCAGTGGCGTGATCTCAGCTCACTGCAACTTCCGCCTCCCAGGTTCAAGCAATTCTTCTGCCTCAGCCTCCCGAGCAACTGGGAGTACAGGCACGCACCACAACGCCTGGCTAATTCTTGTATTTTTCGTAGAGACGGGGTTTCACCATATTGACCAGGATGGTCTCAATCTCCTGACCCTGTGATCCGCCTGCCTCAGCCTCCCAAGGTGCTGGGATTACAGGTGTGAGCCACTGCGTGCAGCTCTCACATGATTTTTTAAGAATTTTGCGGCTGGGCGCGGTGGCTCAAGCCTGTAATCCCAGCACTTTGGGAGGCCGAGACGGGCGGATCACGAGGTCAGGAGATCGAGACCATCCTGGCTAACACGGTGAAACCCCGTCTCTACTAAAAAGTACAAAACACTAGCCGGGCGAGGTGGCGGGCGCCTGTAGTCCCAGCTACTCGGGAGGCTGAGGCAGGAGAACAGCGTAAACCCGGGAGGCGGAGCTTGCAGTGAGCTAAGATCCGGCTACTGCACTCCAGCCTGGGCGACAGAGCAAGACTCCGTTTCAAAAAAAAAAAAAAAGAATTTTGGATACAAGAGGTACATGTGCAGATTTGATACATGGGTGTATTGAGTGATGCTGAAGTTTGGGCGTCTGTTGATCCCATCACCTAAATTGTGAACAGAGTACCCAATGCGTAGTTTTTCAACTCTCCCCTCTCCCTCCCTACCTGCTTTTGGAGTTCCTGTCTATTGTTACCATCTTTAAGCCTGTGTGTACCCAATGTTTCACTCTCACTTACAAGTGAGAACATATGGTATTTAATTTTCTGTTCCTGCATTAATTTGCTTGTTAGCCCAGCCAGAAGCTGCATTTTCTAAGGAGTTGCTGGGTTGATGCTGATGAAGTTGATCCCTGGACTGAAATCTAGGAAACAACTTTTCCACGCTAGTGTTGAACACCTGTGTCTATGCTGCAGCAAAGGGCACAATGCTATTCCTTTTTTCTGGCTGTATAGTATTCCATGGTGTATATGCACCACATTTTCTTCATCCAGTCCACCATTGATGAGCACCTGGGTTGATTTCATGATTTTGCTATTGTGAATATTGCTGTAATGAACATGGGGATACAGGTGTCTTTTTGGTGGAAGGATTTATTTTCCTTTGGGTATATACCCATTAATGGGATTGCTTGGTTGGATGGGAGTTCTATTTTTCAGTTCTTTGAGAAATCTCCAAACTGCTTTCCACAGGGGCTAAACTGTTTTACACTGCCAGCCACAGTGTATAAGTGTTTCCTTTTCTCCACAACCTTACCAACATCTGTTATTTTTTGACTTTTTAATAATAGTTGTTCTGACAGGTTGCCT